GAGTTGTGCCTGATTTTATAACTCTTTTGACACAATTGTTAAATGAATCAGTGCAGTTGCTAGGTGAATCATACCATTGTTAAGTGAATCCTGCTCCTGCCATTAACTTTGCTTATTGGAAGCCAGCTGGGAATTTCACAAATAGTGATCACATAGCCTCTCTAAGTGTTATATTAGACACTAAATAGCTATAAATAAGTGTTTAATAGAGCCTGATAAATGAATAATAGAAATGATTTTGTGTTCTATAAATACATTGATTAAATCTTTATAGAGAGCCAGTTTAATGTTGTGGTTAAGGCATCAGGCTAGAAACCGGGAGATGTGAGTTCTAGTTCCGCCTTAGACACAAAGCCAGCGATTTTGGGCTAGTCATATTCTCAAAACTAGGAAAGAGGCAAACTGCTTCTTAAAAACCTTGCCAAGAAAACCACAGGAACTTGTCCAGTCTCCAAGAATCGGATACAATCGGAAGAAAAAAAAATCTTTGTATTACTATTGTACATTTTCTTTGTGAATTATCAGCTTCAAAGATAAACGTAATTGTGTTGCTTCATCAGAAACGGGTGTGGTCTAACATTTTCAAAGGTTAGGCATATTTTTACTTCCTGTTGTCTTTGCTACATTAACTGTCATGTTTAATACTCAGAGGCCAGTTTTCCAAATCTGCAGTTTTCTAATGAAAAGAAAACAAATTGCCTTAGCTAAACATAAAATTTGTTTATGAATATTTATAGATATAAACATCAAAACCCTTGTGGTCATCACTGGAGGCTTTTAAGAAGTGACTGGACAGCCATGTGTTTGGAATGATATAGGGTCTCTTGCTTGAGCAGGGGATTGGACTAGAAGACTTCCAAGGTCTCTTCCCACTCTGTTACTCTGAACATTCTGAATCTTAATTCAGTAGAACACATTTAAGTTAATTAACCTGAGTGACAACTAGACAACAGATGAAGCTGCTTTCATTGTAGCATAGCTAGAGAAAAATTACAAGTATAGTGCAGTATGTGCTATTGAATATAAAATGGCTCAATTCTGATTGGATTACTTTTGATATGCAAATTTTTTATCCTTTAAGAAGCACAGAATCTTTTTTATTTTCTTGAATAGATCTGTACAGTAGTAAAAACACTCTTCATTATATGTTACTATATTAAATATGCAATATTATACTATCAGAGATGTTTAATATTTGATAGATGAGTATTTCTAATATATAATGAAGGAAGTGTAATAGAGTAACTGGCGGGAGCCAGTATTTTATTGAGACATTCTTCATTAACTCCGTTTGCATTAAAAAAAAAAATCTCAAAATGGAGAATTCAGAAGAATGGTAAGAAGAGAAATATACTACAGTGGCCAACCTCCATCAAACCAAAATTTACACTATCAAAACCTAGCATCTTGGCTATTAGTGTGGCATGAATATAGTATCTAAGAGAATTTATTCCAGACTGAGCTACTATTATATTAATTAATATTATTAATAGGGGTCTTGACTGATGTTGGAGTGAAACTGAGGAACATAACACCACAAATAGAGCAAATAAAAAAGAGCCCTTTGATATGGTTTAGGAGGTTTAAAGTTCAGAAAAGAGTACAATAAGGATATGCAGGTAGTCCTTGACTTACAACCACAATTGAGCCTAAAATTTATGTTGCTGAGAAATTTGTTAGGTGAGTTTTATCCCATTTACGACTTTTCTTTGCCACATTGGTTAAGTGAATCACTGCAGTTATTAAGTTGGTAACACGGTTGTTAAATGAATCTGCCTTCCCCATTGACTTTGCTTGTCAGAAGTTTACAAAAGGTAATCACATGAACCCAGAACACTGCAACTGTCATAAATATGAACCAGTTGTCAAGCATCTGAACGTAAATCACATGACCATGGGAATGACGCAGTGGTCATAAGTATGAAAAATGGTTAAGGCCACTTTTCAGTGCCATTGGTCACTAAATGATCTGTTGTAAGTCGAGTACCTGTAGTAAAATAGTTGTGCATGCCTCTCTCTGTATCTTTCAGGATTTTTCCTTACGTTTATTTGGAAAATGTTGTGATGTAATGTAATTCACAGTAAACCATGGAGACATTCATTCACTTAACTGAAACCTTAGGTGGAGTTTGTTTGAAAGATACATATCTCACTAATATACCACTATAAACAACTCTGCAAACAAACGTCTTGTGTCCATATTTAAAATGGGAAATATCCCCCCTCCTGGGAATTATGTTGTTTACTTTTTTGAAAAAACAATTATGGCTGTAGCTGCACGTAAGCATATATCTGGTTCTCCACTTCAAAGTTTGAGTGGTAGAAGGATTTGTAAAAACATTCTATTTTGGCTGGTATTCTCCCAAGTTGTTTTGGCATATAGCCCAAAGTATAACTCAGTTTCTCCCCATTCTTTTTGCAGAATATAAACATATTTGTATTAAACACAAGGTGAAAGGGAAGGAGTCAGCATTACAACTATGGTTGTGTTAGACAGGATAGTATTCCAGAAATGGTTTTTAGCTTCTACATTCCTGTGTAATTTCTAAAGTATAAACAGCATTCATTCTATACTTTTATAGTTCTATATTACTTTCAAACCACTTTTTATGGAAATCACAGATAGATTATTTAATTATAACATAGGAAAATTAATATTGGCAACTAATGCAATTGGATGAGGTTAGAATTTTACTGGTCTGAAGAATCAAACTGCAAACATTTTTATTTGAAATAGTTTTAGGACATTGGAATTGAAATCTGCAATGTATTGTATAGTAAGTCCTCCAGATGTGTTATATCAAGTATGCATTTACAGTAATCAAAAAAATATGTCTACTGATTTCAAGGCTAAAATATAAAATTTGAAAATGTACATTTTACCCCCACTTAAGTGGCAATAGTTTAGTTAAATGCACATAGAGCTATTTTGTGCCACATCTGGAGAAAAGTTTTCTCAACTCCAGTTCAGGACTGAAATTTGGACTACATTACATGACAACTGTGATCATTATTGAGCTAATATTTGTGAAACTCATAAAATCTTTTAAGTATTTTATATAGGTGATTACTGTAATTTACATATAACCTTATTTTTCTATATAGTTATGCTAAACATGGTATCACTTGATAAACTAGCCGCTTTCCAACAGAAAATCTGTTTTCTTATCTCCCCTGAAATATGTATAGTTTTATGTAGGCAGTATTGTAAAGCTCATTAGATTTTAGTAGCGCTCAGTATGATGGGATAAAATTACATTGCTTAAAGGCATACATTGTTTTGTAAAGGGAAAAAAAGGGGTTGTATTTTTTAGCTTTGTATATTTTTTGTAGCTTTTATTGTTTGAAGCTCTTCTGTAGAACAAAAGGAGATATAGAGTAGTTGATAGAATGTATTCAGATATTTTCTCTCCTGTTTTGTGAAACCAATTTCTGCCTTCTGCTTAATAGCTTTGATCCAAAAAATGTTGTCTAGGCAGGTCTAGACCTCTTATGACACGTAGTAAAGGTGTCCATGTAATTCCACTTTAGTAGCTGCAGAGGCCAATATAATGCTTAATCTTTTTAGGAGATTTTTAAGAGCCTTCAGACTAAGATGTGGAAGTGAAAGAACACTTGATGTCTCATTCTAACCTCCAGAACAAGATACTAAAGCAAAAAGGCAGCCAGGTTGATATGCCTTGTTTTGAGGGATGATTTCTCAGAATAAAGTATTGTGGAAATAATTTGTTGTTGCTTACCTGCTATTCATCTAATCAGTAGAAATAGTCTTCCTTACTTTCTCCCTGGACAAATACAGTAAATTACTGAATATAATTCTTAAGTCATTGATTACCTGTTTTGATGAACTTTCCCAGGTTTGATAAACTTGTTTGGCATTTGTTTATTCGCAAATGGCTACTCTCCTTTCACTTTCTGGATTCTGTTGTGTTTTCATATCACATTTTGATCTGGACTTGAAGCTTGAGTGTGATTTTTTAAATAATATCAATTATTATAATTTCTCCCCATCTACCTAATGTATTTGAGTCTATTAGCAAAGAAGATGAAGGAAAGCTGCATTTCTTGTTCTTTTAGATATATTGATATATATATTGATATATTCTTGTTCTTTTAGATATATTGATATATTGATTTTTTCCAGAGACATAATTATATTGGATTTTCCCCTCTATCAAAGTTAGCAGGAAGAGGCAAGTGATGGCAGAAATAAGATGGTCAGAATATGTGTAACTGGCTTTTGTTGTATAACGTTACCACCCAAACCTGATTTTATTATTGGTAATATAATTCAGTAGTTTTCAGATTGTATATAAATAGGGAATCCAAGTGCATTAAGTTGTCTTCTGAGGAATTCTCTCTGTGGCAAGAAATAGTGGGTCTTGTAATATAGAAACACTCAATTTACATGCCTTTGATTAGCCTTTGATTATGGCTCTTCATTGTACTGTTAATATACTCATTCCCCTAGATCAGGGGTAGGCAACCTTGGTTCTTTTATGACTCGTGGACTTCAACTCCCAGAATTCCTGAGCCAGCCATGCTGGAGTTGAAGTCCACGAGTCATAAAAGAGCCAAGGTTGCCTACCTCTGCCCTAGGTGTTAGTGAACCATTTTCAAGTAGACTGTTGTTTTGTTTTATAAGTAAGAAGCATTCAGAAAGCCTTGAGAGTAATCCATATAGTACACAACAAAGTTCTCAAAGTTAATTTTGGCAATCTTGCTTAAGTCTTCAGTTTTAAAAATTTTGCATTGGATTTTATTTTTTGTACCTGATAAACTGAATATTGTAATCACAAAGAATTCACATCCAGTACATTAAAAAATATACAGCACACCTCGATTTACTGAAATGATGCATTGGAAAAGAAATTTTATGAATTATAAATATTAGTATTTTTTTCTGGATTAAGAAAAATGAGGTAGCTATTTATTAACATAAAAATGTGGCTTTGTATTAATATTTCCTGTCTTCAATTTATTTATTTTTCTGCCACTAGAAACATGACAACTGAAAAGAGTTTAGTGGCAGATTCTGAGACTCCTAAACAGCAGCTCCCAAAAGAGGAAGAGGTGGTTGCTGAAACTGGTCCCCAGGAATCTCTTCTGGAGAAAGCACCCGAGTGGGATAATCCATCCAAGAAGAAGCTGAAAGCATCTAATGGTGACACACCCACCCGAGAGGATCAGAGTAGGAACAAAGAATGCAGTTCTGAAACTCGTGGCCTGTCACGCTTATTTTCATCACTCCTCAAGAGGCCCAAATCTCAGGTATCAGAAGAAGAAGGCAACGGGGCAGGAACAAAAGAACCTGATGAAGAACACCAGAAAGAGACTGATATAGAAGTTGATCTCGATGAAGAGATTTTGCTGAAAGCCCCAATAGCAGCTCCTGAACCTGAACTTAGGACTGATCCATCTTTAGATCTTCACTCACTCAGCAGTGCAGAAACTCAGGTAAATATCATGTAAATGTAATACTTTCCAACTGCTTAGATTTCTAGGGAGAGTCCTCTTAATATTATTCATATGATTTTAATTTAATATAGTTTATTTAGTAATTTAGTTTAATATAAATAAAACAGAATATATTTTTATGGGGACTTTCATGGGTTTTATTCCCAGGAAAATATAAATGCTCTATTACACTAATATTGAAACTGCTGTACTGCCTTCCAATTCCAATTCAAGGAATTAACAGGGCCTTCCAGTCCCAGTTCAGGGTGCACAAAGCCTCACAAAGCTTGTGTCAAAGATACTTGCAGTTGTCCCCATCCTGTCTTAAATTCTGGCTTTAACGGGTATGTCTAACATCCACAAAATGTCTGCTTTTCCAGTGATCGAGCCATAATTGAAAACAAACTGCCTTTGGAGTTGAGGCATGCCGCTCATTTGCATAGGGATTTTAGATACTTTTTATGCTGCTGCTTTATGGTTTTTACTGATTATGTGGGTGCCACTTAGAGCCATTTGGCAGTAGGCAGCATGTACATTTGTAAAATAATTAGTCCATATTTTACAACTTTATTTTGAAGAAGTTTGTTTAGGTTCAAGTTGTGAAATGTTTCACATCTTTAAGGTATAATTTATGGAACAAGGTATTTTGTTACATTTTAAATTATATTGGAAAAGCTATATAATGGTATTTAAGTTTAACACACACACGCATACATCAATCAGCTAAAGAGTTTCCTGGTTTTAAAATGTTTTACTTATCAAGTATTTTAAGTAATAAAGATTTATAAAATACAGTACAAATATAAACACATAGGAAAATATTTTATTTATGTTAGAATATTTTAATGATTTCAGCCTGCTCAAGAGGATAGGAGAGAAGATCAGGACCAAGATCCAGAGGACATAAATCTTGAAATTAAGGAAGAAAAAGAACAGGTGGAGTGTTCCAATACAGGTGAAAAGAAAGAAAACAAGGGAAAGGTAGAAAAAGAATTAAAGAGTGCTTCCAAAACTGTAAGAAGACCCCGAAATAGCATGCATTGCAAGATTACCTTACTGGATGATACAATTTTTGAGTGTTCTGTGGATGTAAGTATATTTATATATTACGGATTGTTTTTCTGAATTGTAACTATTATGGAGGGGGGGGGGAGAGTGTGATTGGCCTGATCCAGTGTATCTTTTTGAAATGATATAACACCCTATTTTTCCCTATAGTAGCCTAAACAAATCCACCCTATCTTTAAATTACAAAGTTCATTTTTAAAAAAATTGCACTGATAAAATAACTATTTGGAGGAGCCACTACTTTATAATTGGCCCCAGGAATCTGGTTAATTTTTTTTTAGCAATCAGTGGCTTTTTATGTTTAATATGTTATCGGGAATGAATGACATTGGGTGTAAGGCAAAGAGACTTGATATTGGTATGGGAGGAACTGATTGGAACATACTACAGACGTCTTTGAGCCTTGCTAAAAACATAGTTGTTGCACCTTTAAAGCTATGGATAACAGAAGTTGCATATGATACACTACCTTGTCCCTTTTGTTTGATTGTTGCACAGACTGGGAATTAAGTATTACTGTTCTTTTTAAAAGTTCATTGATATTTTGAGTCACTAATTAAATCTAAATGCATATTTATGGCCAAGTTTTCTGTATTTCTCTAGCTGATTGAGCAAAATCATTGTTTTAATTGACTTTACATGTTTTAGTTAGTGTATGAATGTTACATTATTATATAGTGGTATTAAAAACATTGCTATTAATATTATTTTACCCAGTGGTTACTTTATGTGTGTGTACCTTTGAAGTGTAATCTTTAATTCTACATGTAGAGAATGGAAGTTGAACAAAAATGCTAATTTGGAGATTCTTTTTTCAGATGGGAGGCTCAGTGGTAAAATCGTGATTTCACTGCCTTGCATTCCATATGTATCATCTTTGATTAAAGATCCTAGGTTGAAGTCCTTGGAGAACTGCTACTAGCAGAGAAGACAACAGGCTGATGATATAAAGCAGCTTTTTATATCCTTTCAGCCTGACATCTGTTTGTGGGCTGGGAGGGAAAGGCTTGCTGATGCTTGAAGGAAAAAAAAACACTCACCCATCAGTGCCTCAAGGAATGCTCCTATATTGATTTATAATCTTTAGACTGTAGTGGAAACTTACAGTTTGGCCATCAGCCAAAATCAGGTTTATGAAATTGTGGAGAAATACAGATGAAATAAACCAGCCATAATTCAACTATCTGTTGTTCTGTCCATTTAACTATTTTTTTAGTATCAAGTGGATGGTGACTACTAGAACTTCCATGGGTTTGTTAAAAATAGGCTGTGCCAAATAATTTTTATTTGCCTTGCCAGTTTACAGCGGTGGTTGTGGCAGTCCCAGTTGCCATTGACTCCTGCAGAATTGCAGCATCCTGGGGTCATGTGCTTGCCATTTGCAACGTCCTGATGGCTTCTCCAATGACTGCTTCTTAAGTTAGTAATGAAGATAATCACTGCTGATCCCATGACTGTGGGATGGTGTGATCATCATAATTGCAAGTAGGTCGCAACTGCCCAAATTATCCCATGACCACTGGAATACTGTGGCAGCCTGGTTGCAACTATGAGGACCTGCCATAAATGACCCTTGTTCAATGCCATCATAACTTTGAATGGTCATTGAACAAGTGGTTGTTCAATGCGGACTACCTATAGATGGAGTGTGCTTAGACTTCAGTAAGGCATTTAGTAACATCAACGATATATATATTGGCTGCCTATCTTACCACAGGGTAACTCACTGCAGGATTCACAATTGGTTAAATATCTGTACCTAACGTGAAGAAAGGTATGCAAAGTTAGGAGAATTGCTAACATTTCAGAAGAGAGCATCAAGGTTCAGAAGGAACTATACACTTGAATATTGGGCCCTATCCAACAAAATGCTGTTCAGTGATGAAAAATGTAAGGTTCTGAACATTAGGTAAAAGAAAACAGGTACAAAATGGGTGGTACTTGGCCAAGCAATAATATTTGTGAGCAGGATTTGAATGTCTTGATAGACCATAAATTAAGCATGAGCCAAAAGAGCCATGCAGTCTTGCATGGCATTAACAGAATTATAATGTCAAGATCATAGAACTGATTATTCCACTCTGCATTACACTGGTTAGATTGCACCAGTGTAGTATAGATGGAATTATCATTCCCGTAACTTTGACGTGGTCAGACCGCATTTAAATTACTGCTTTAATTTTTTGTCACTACAAGGCAAGATGAATGCTAAGGAACTAGAATACAGAGAAAAGCAGCAAAGATAGTGACAAGCTTAGACACTATATCATAAGAATTGGATATGTTTAGTTTAAAGAAGAGGAGTCTAAGAGGAAACATGACTGCAACCTTCCAATACTTTAAAGAATTATCCCAGGGAAGAGAGTATAGATAGTAAATGATGAACAGCTTTTATCAAAGAAAGACTTGATTCTCAAGTATGCTTGTATGCCCATTCATGAAATATTTATTTATTCATTTATTCATTTATTTATCTCCCCCACCTAGGACCAAAGCTAAAAATAAACCTTTACTGTAATTATCTGTAATTCTGTATAGAAAAAATGCCAAACTATTTGTATTCTTCTACAGAAACATGCCAAAGGACAAGATCTTCTTAAGAAAGTATGCGATCACCTCAACCTTTTGGAAGAGGACTATTTTGGACTGGCCATATGGGATACCCCAACATCTAAGGTAAGAAAACTATACACAAAAATGTTCTTAGTAGGTCATTGGGGGAAATTAATTTTCTTACATTTGGTGGAATGGTGGAGAAGAATTGAATTTTATTGGGAGAACAGATAATAAAGTGCATGCAACCTGACATTGCTAAATTTGTAGAAATTGGCTCTAACACAGAAAGGTACTAAACTGGACACTGCTGCACATACTGGTAGAAGATCTTCTGGATAGATCAGTACCATGGACAGCACCTGTCTCCAATGGCTTCTGAAATTTCTGAGCAGGCCAATGTACATGCACATACTATATCTACATATATAGATAGAGAGCTTGTATAATTGGGGAGGAGGGAGTTGGTAGTTGTGTTTTGCTTTCAACTTGAAAACTGTCCAAAAATTTCCAGGCTTGTAAAATTGGAATTCTGCAACAATTAATATTGATAGTGTGTCTGTGTATTTTTTTATTTTATTGTTTATTTTTCACTTTATTATTAGAAGATCATTTAAGATCATCAGGAGTTATGTCAATAGCTTGACTATGTTAACATGTTAGTAATATTTGTAATTTTATTCTATTATTATGCTAGCTTTGTGGTGTATTAATGCAGCAATAATACATTTTCACATGATGTTATTTTTCAACATTTCAGATGATAAATATTTACTATTTTCTTGTAGACATGGTTGGATGCTGCCAAAGAGATAAAAAAGCAGGTTCATGGTAAGTGGATTAAGACTTTTTAATACAGTGGTAGATATGTATAAATAAAAAGACAGCTGATATCAGATTCCTCAAACAAGTAGCTATTAAAAAGGTTCAGGGTGAAATGCCTATGGATCATACATAGAGTCATCAAAAAATGATGAAAGGAATCGGCAAATATATTAGTAAGATCTGTTTTGTAGTTTATCAAGTACAGTAGCTTATTTCTTAAAACTCATTCTACTGTCCAGGTATGTTAATTGTATAGGAATATAATTGCATCATTGAGTTGGAATTAAACTTTTTGAAAATAATTGAAGGATAAAGTAGTCCAATTCATACTTGTAGTTAAAGATTCACTAAAGCCTAAAATAGAATTTAATCTATTTTTATCCTTCCTTCCTTCCTTCCTTCCTTCCTTCCTTCCTTCCTTCCTTCCTTCCTTCCTTCCTTCCTTCCTTCCTTCCTTCCTTCCTAATAAAAGGTGCATAATAATGATTCAGTATTTAAATCACTTAGGAGATTACATCTTTAATTAACTTGCAGCTATAATAAACCGTGAGGTCTCACAGTGCATTTGTAGCTTTGTCACTGGATTCACCCATCACAATATACCTGGTTTGTTTATTGTTGGCTTAGCTTATTGTGTGAATGCAACAGTAAAGGTGTGGTGTCACAAATTGGAGGGGATGGCTTGCAGACACGAAGCAGGAGCTCAGTCAGAACTTGCTCTCAGGACTTCCGGTGGTGGCATCAGGGCGGTGCAGAGTTAAGGAGACAGGCTCTGTCACCTAACTCTGATCTTTCCATGTTTGGAGACCCTTTGGGGGCGCGGGGAAGTCTGGAGGACAACGGAGGAATAATGAGGCGAAAGGCAATCGCCCGTTAGGACGAAGGAAACCTCCTAATTTCAATGTGGAAACTTCTGCCAGCAGCTGATGGCGGATCTGAGGCCCTGATAAAGCCACAGATGATGCGGAAGCAAGAATTCTAACAGACGGTGCCAAGTAGTAAGCTGTAATAGCCTATATTATTCCTAATACTAAAGAATATGAGGAGAGTCTAATA